GTGTTTTATCAGGTATAAAAGCACTTGGCTATGCCTCGTGCTTTTATACCTGATAAAACACTCCTACTCGTTTTTTAAACACTACATCGTTTTAGATTAAGATTTTACAATTGATATCTAGTGATTTTTTTTACTTACTGCATTTGTAGCTTTTTCTTATTTCATATTGTTTTCATAATAGAATTTTGTTTTCTTTATTTTCTAGCCATGGATGTAAAGCGCTTTAGAATAATAGGTTGAGCGCTATATAAATTGTTATATTATATTTAAGTAGAAAATCGTTTTTTCATTCTCTCATTTCGAATCCATTTGAAAGTAACGGTATTGATCAAATGATTTAAAAATATTGAGTTTATAGCAAGTGTCGTTTTGTCTTTTAAAACAATTGTTCATCTACTACTGCTAAGTCCTGTTGATAAAATAAAAAAGTAGGGTTGTACTCTTCAAAGTTACTGAGGGGGCCCAATAAGAATAATCATGACAAGCACAAAGAAAATCCGTTGTTTTTATTCTCAGATGCTCTAAAAAAGTTTGAAGCTGAACGGAAAAAAGGGTCTGAGGCTGAGTTAGAGGTGAGATGAATGAGATACGTGATGATGCAAAAAAAGATAATACGCAGGGATTGACCTCTCAGTGGCACACAACTAAAGCGATCTATGCCACACCGACTTCCCCTATGTATACCATACAATATATACTTAATTCACCATTTTCCCTACATTGGTTCACTGGCCAAACACAAAGCCCTCAAGAGAGGCGTCAAGGTACTTTCAAAGGATTTTTCAAATTTGAACCTTTCAACCTCGCCTGAATGCTTTGTGTTTGACCAGTGAACCGATGTATGGAAAATGGTGAATAAACTTGATCCATACATATTCTTAAATGCATGTTACGTTATAGCCGCAATCTTGGTTGACGATAACAAAGCATTCCTCATTAGCTTCTCTTGTTAGATCAACCAACAAGGCGGCTGTTTCATCGTCATTTATATCTCAAGAGATTTTAAATCATGTTGTTTACTCTCCAAGCAACCCATGTGTCCATACCAAAGTATCTTGATTCATATTCACAGAATATTGAAAACAAAATGAAAATCGAGAATCTGGAACATGATCTTAAGGCCAAGGAAGCTGTTGTCCAGCAGTCCCTGTAAGTATTCTTTACTCTTGGCATGTCTTGTACCATTACATAACAGAGTGTGCTATATTGTTTATTTGTTTTCTGTGCAGAAAAACAATAGAGAATCTTCGGAACAAGTTGAAAACCATGCCAATAATAGAGGTGAACTAATAATAATGTCATAGATTATGGCTAATAAAGAATATGTTTTGATTATAGGTGTAGTTTGTCAGGGTGTGGCTTGTTTGTTGGCTTGGCTGGCCTTATAGGTGTAGTTTGTCAATGGGTGTGGCTTGTCTATGGGTGCACCTTATCTGTATTGGCAGCTTGTCAATGGGCGTTGCTTGTCTGTTTGCTTTGCTGGCCTTTGGATATAGTTTGTCAATGGGTGTTGTTTGTCTATTGGCTTGGCTGGCCTATAGATATAGTTTGTCTATGTGTGTTTCAGTGGTTTGTCTAAGCTTTTCCATGAGTGAGGTTTATGTAATGTGAGATAGCGAAACACTCATTTCTCATTCGTCGCCCATTTCTTTATTATTATATTATATTACAGTGCATTAACATCCTTTTTTGTCTCGATTCTGTAGGATCTGAAGCAAAAGTTTGCAGAACAAAACCAGGTACTGTTTGGTATTTTTATACATAAGAATAACACTGATAAGAAACGTCTGTATACTATTGGTGACCTAGGCCTATTGATTTACCAAGTCTAATTTGATCTATTGCTCGTTTTGTAAGGCACTTTCTGCGGCACAAAAGGATAAAGAACAAGCACAGATGGAACTGGTGAGAAACTTAATGATCATGCTCTTCATCTTTATCTTCATCATGCATCATCATCATGCATCATCATCATTATAATCATGCGTTATCATTAACATCATCATCATACATCATCACCATCATCATGCATCATCATCAACATGCATCACCATCATCATCATCATCATCATAAAAATCATGCGTTATCATTAACATCATAACCATGCATCACCATCATCATTGTAATCATGCGTTATCATTAACATCATCATCATGTATCATCAGCATTATCATTTTCATCATCATCATGCGTCATCATTGTCATCATCAACATCCTCATCCACATCATCACCTTCCACAATAGACATATGTTAGTAAAGCCAGCCAGACTACAGGATTTGAAATTCTCATACTTAGTCTGCATATGTTGTTTGCTTTTCTGATTGGTATAAAAAGCTGCAATAGCTAGAAAGAAGGCTTTTTTGGTAAGAATTAAAAATAAACTGTGTATGCATACGCACATTTTGCTTATCCAAAAGGCCCGAGACTGAATGAATGTCTAAAACTTTGCTGACAAAATTTTCTCTGTTTTTGAATCTTTTTCTTGTTGTCGTTAATCATTAATTGTAGGCATTATTAAAGAAGTCTGTAGTAGAGTATGATGGAGAATTGAAATCCAAACACGACAACATTGAGGTTTTGACACATTCTGCGCAGATCAAGGATAACATGATTAAGGTAGGAGAAGGATGAAAAACACCGCAATTTTATCGGTTCCTGCAGTAAACTCTCAAGCTCTAAGAGATCATCTAATTCCATTCTAATGAAAAGGGATGGGGGGG